AACTATAACTATAACTATAACTACGAATAATGAAGTAAGCTAGGGAGAGTGGAGAACAGCTAAGCAGCGCTCCACAGTTCCAACGACCGTCAGGGGCGGTAAGAAGGAACTAGGGGGGCGCCGGGTCGGCTGGGGTATATATTCAGCGCCATGAAGGCGCCACTCTAGGGGGCTCCACAGCCGACCCGCCGGTGTTGCTAGGGTAAAAATCTTCCGACGATCGTGCACGCGGCGCGCACACACCTAATGGAATGGATATGAGCAAGCACTCGAAGAAGAATGTAAGGTTTGGGGTGGGTGGCTGTGTGCTTGTGCAACCTGAATTGTCACTAAATGAAGGGGAAGATTTTTTCTGACAGCTTAGGGCTTATCTGTATGGGCCCTACTGTGCGTCAAGGTGGCATACGTGCGTGGGCAAACTACGGCCTGCGGGCTGCATCTGGCCCGCCAGCTGTTTTAATCCGGCCCTCGAGCTCCCGCTGGGGAGCAGGGTCTGGGGCTTGCCCCGGTCCAACGCTCCAGGCGGGAGGGAGGAAAGTGGGGGCCTCCATGTGGCTCCTGAAAGCAGTGGCATGGCCCCCCTCTGGCTCCTACACGTAGGGGCAGCCAGGGGGCTCCGCTCTGCACGCTGCCCCCACCCCAAGCACTGGGAAGGCGGCCAATGGGCGCTGCAGGGGCAGTGCCTGTGGACAGGGCAGCATGCAGAGCCGCCTGGCTGCGCCTTCATGTAGGAGCCAGAGACGGGATATGTCGCTGCTTCCGGGAGCCGCTTGAGGTAAGCGCCGCCTGGAGCCTGCACCCCTGAGACTCCCCCCACACCCCAAACCCCTGCCCCAGTCCTGATCTCCCTCCGAACCCCTCAATCCCAGCCCAGAGCACCCTCCTGCACCCCAAACCTCTCATCCCCAGCCCCACCCCAAAGCCCGCACTCCCAGCCAGACCCTCACTCTACCCACCCCACCCCCCTGCCTCAGCCCGGAGCCCCCTCCTAAACCCTGAACTCTTCATTTGTGGACCCACCCCATAGCCCGTACCCCCAGCCAGAGCCCTCACCCCGCACCCCTACCCCAAATTTGTGAGTATTCATGGTCCACCATACAATTTCTATTCCCAGATGTGGCCCTCACGCCAAAATGTTTGCCCCCTCCCCGCAATAGACACTTCTAGGGAAGTCCAATTAAGCCTATGGCTTGTCTACAGGGTGTGAGTGCACACCGCAGGCATGTAAATTGTTACTACGTTAATACTCACTAGGGAATTTTTAGTGCATGCCAGTAAGATTGTGTGTGACATGTTGGAACACACTCTAGCGTACACCCCTCTGGTTGCACACTAATTCATCATCTAGCCAAGCCCTAAAACTCACCAGGGGATGCCAAGAAGCCACGATGATCTTTTCTTCCTACCCATAGGCAAGCGACTCTCAAATGAAAAATGTATCCAGCTCACGCTCTTGGAGATGCAGATGCAATGAGATGAGCAGGAGATTCTGTGATACAGGAGATTAGTCAAGGGTTAAGTTCTGTCTAGGTAGCACTATTTGAGAGCTGGGCCCATTATCACTGTGGTTATCAATATTAATTTGGCTGCATTAACGTGCCATGTTTGGGTAAGAAGGAGGTGGAATGGGGGAAATCTAAGGTGTTTTCCCAATTTTGCAAGCGACAGACTGTGTGAGTGCAGCACTTGGGAAAGGGATTACTTAGCCCTGGTCCACACTACAAACTTACGTTGCTATAACTGTGTTGTTCAGACTATAACTATGTCGTTGCTATAACTACGTCGGATCCACACCCCTGAGTGAGGCAGTTGTACCGACCTAACTCCCAGTGTAGACAGCACAATCTCAGCGGGAGGGCTTCTCCCGTCGACATAGCTACCGCCTCTCGGTCAGGTGGAGTACCTACGCTGACTGCAGCAGCTCTCCCATTGATGTAGGTAGTGTCGTCAGTAAGTGCTACAGCGGCAGGCTGCAGTGCAGTAAGTGTAGACAAGCCCTCAGGGGGTGATATCTTTTATTGGACCAACTTCTGTTGGTGAGAGAGAGAAGTTTTCAAGCTTACACAGAGCTCTCCTTCAGGTCTGGGAAACTTAACCAGCATGTCACAGCTAAATACAGAATGAAACAGATTGTTTAGCATAAGTAGTTAACACATATTTTAAGGGATCATTCAAGGTGAAATGGCCTGTTAAGACCTCTCCAGTCAAAGGCGGGGAAAGGGGAGGGAGGAAACAGCTGGAGGGGAGTTAGTGGGTTATAGATTGTTGTAATGAGAATTAAATCCAGTGTCTCTATTCAGCCCATGATTTTTAGCGTCTAGAGAGTTATGAATTTAAGCTCCCAAGTTCATGACTAATCAGTTATCATGTTATTTTCTATACATTACTGGATTTATTTTTCACCACTTTTATGTCAGACTATGAAAAGCTAGATGGCAATCCAGGATTTTGAAAATGAAGAAATAATTTAAATAAAAAGAAAAATGATGCAAAAAATTAATGACAGTATAGATAGAGTAAATCTGGACAACGTGGAAATGATATTCTGAAACACATTATGTATGTATGTTTGCTTCTACTTTAGATCTTCATTTATCAGCAGGAGGATAAACCCACTTCAAGAGAAAATGGGTATGTACCTTGCTTTTAAGATATTTCCCCATAATTATTTTTTAAACATATAAGTACAAGTAAATGGTCCATTGTATGGTACACAACTGTGAATCCTCTCAACAGCCCTGCAAGGTGGGTAAATAGGTATTATTCCCATTTTACAGATTGGGAAACTCAGACCCACAATGGCTAAGTGACTTGCCCAAGACTAGACAGCAAATGAGTGAGAGTTGGAATCAGAATGTAGGAGTTCCTGATCCCATTTTATACTCAATCCTCCAACCTATGCATACACATGCTCACTCTCAAGGAGGATTATAACTACGAGAATACAGCATGCTGAATTGCTCAGGGTGATCTCACGTTTTGTCTGATTTATTATTATTTATTTTTATTAAAACTTATTTTATTCTTAGACTACAAAACGTTACCTTTGGCTGAATGGAATGAGTGTCACGTCAGAGACTGGCTAGTGTCCATTGGAATAAAAGAAGAATATGTGAAAAAGCTATGGGAGGAGGAAGTAACAGGTCCAGTGCTTAGAAAAATAGACGAATCTTTTCTCAAAAGCATTGGTATGAAAAAAGGCCAAATCCACGTACTTATATGTGAAAGAAATGAACTTTTGAAATGTTTGAACAAAAAAGCAGGTATAGGGCAAACAGATAATCCCAGCTGTAAGACTCCAGAAATCTTGAGTGACACTGGTAGAACAACTAATGCTCAGGAAAAGAAAGTGAAAATGAGAAATTCTAACATGCCTACAACAGCTAATGTACCAGCTGAAAAGAGAGAGTGTGGCTTAAAGACCACCCAAATCAAACAGCCTAAAAGTGTACCAAGTTCTCAAGTAACATTTCACCAGCATGCAGCTTCAGAAACAGACATCTCTGATCCACTAGAAGAGTCTAGCAGGGAAGACATGGAAAAATCAGTGTCTACTCTTGTCAGGACAGAAAATGGGAAAAGTCATTCAGTGCATAAAAAAAGAGTTGAAGCTTTAACTCTGAGCCGATTTCGACCATTTGGCACTCAAGATATTAATTTTAAGTATGTGAAAAACACAGTCCTTTCTCCCGAAACAGGAGTCATTGATTTGATCACCCCTTGCCATGAATACAAATCTTTTGCCATTGCTGCGGAGCTAGACAGACCACGGCTTGAAGCAAAGTTTGCCTTTGAAGTGATTCGATTTGGCTCAGCCTGCATGAATATCCGAAGTAATGGAACGATACACTTTGGTGTCATGGACAGGTTTGAAGGTGACAAGGATTATGAACATGGGCAGATAATAGGTGTGCCAGTCAGAAACAGAGACATCTATGTTGATGCATTGGATAAAAACATTGCAAAATGTTTCAATGCATCTGACCAAGAAGCTGCAAGAATTTGCATTCGCCCTCCTGTTTTTATTGAAGTGATTGAGAAGGACACTCAAGACCAACGCTTTGTGGTGGAGGTTGACATTGAACCATCATCCAGTACAGTGAAGGGGAAGATTTTTCAAGTACGCTTACCTAGATTTAACGAAAACAGCAATAAGACAATATATGAAAAAAATCCAGTTCTCTATCAAAGACTTAAGGCCAATTCTGAACCTGTAAAGAATGAAGAACAAGTGGATTTTATTATTCAGGGTATAAAAGAGAGGGATGTTAGAAGAGAAATTGCCGAGTCCTCCAGGAATGAAGACCAGATAGAAACTTCCCAAGATTTAGGGCGTAAGTTATTAGTTCTATTAAATGATGGAAAGAACTATATAGATGACTATCTGAGTTACATCCTTGTCACAAACAGATGTGGAACGGAAGCTCTTAAGTCTGTCAACTTTTTAATGCGCATGAATATTTTCTGTGTATTTGATTTTGATGAGGATTCCAATGTGTCAGGTTTACATGCCAAGTACAGAGAGCATCATGCAACAAATTTGCATTTCTTGCAAAATTATGCCAATGAAAGCAAGATGAACACCACTGAATTTAAAAAATATTTGGGCTTAGATGATTACACCAGCTGGATATTTTGCAATGGACGTAGTGACTTCCTTGGGGATGAAAAACCTTGTGATGAAAATACTTGGATTAGAACGAAAAAGAAGTATCTTAAGAAAGCCGTTTCTTTTATCTGTGATGAAATCCTTCCAAAGGGATCTTTTGTGGTACTGTTCCTACTATCATCACCTGTGGAGAAGCCAATTGTAGACACCTTCCAGGAATTCTATACAGAAATGAATGGTATGGATTATATCATATGCATTGCAGAGTCCAAAGAAAATTATGAGAAGTGGGCTAACCTAGCTCAGGCATCTTGTAGCATTGAGACACTAGAACAGAGGAGCATTGTGGGCATGAAGCTAAGTCACGTAGATGCCACTATTCAAAACATGATGCCTTCTACAATATGTCCCAGACGTTTACCAGTTTCCACAAGAGGTCTGTGTGTGCTTCCAACACTGGAAGAAGAGAAAATGTTTTCCCTTGAAATATTGTGTACAAATCAATGTGATGATATCAAACTGGATCTTCTGAGCACAAAAGAAATACAAGAGATAGAACGAACATTTTACCAAGGTAGAAAAGTCAGCTGGAAAAATTTCTGGCTTGCTGATAAAGGGGGCTGTGGAGAAGTCATTGAACGTGATGCCTGCAGAGATGTTCATAAAATCTTAGATGGCATTTTGCACGAGAACAGAATCAGGTGGTCTGTGGCTAAACTAAAAATATTTCATCAACCTGGAAGTGGAGGAAGCACCATTGCAAGGCAAGTACTATGGAAAAGAAGGAAGGATTTAAGATGTGCTGTAGTCAATTCCTCATATCCAGTTGCAACTGTCTCCCAACATGCAGTTAATTTTAGAGAATATGATGAAAATGACACGAAGAATTCTCTCCCAGTCCTCCTCCTTGTTGAAGACTATGATGAAGATTATCTAGATGAATTAAAGCATGATTTAATGGATGCAATGACAGCTAGAAGAGGTCATTCATCCAAGCCTTGTTTCATCCTTATGTGCTGTAAACGATCTAATGTCCCTGAAAAGCTTTGCAAAGCTTCTCCTCTCGATACAGTTGCTGTCACTCACAAACTGTCAGACCAAGAGAAACACCTGTTTAAAACCAAAATTGAAAAGCTTGAAAAGCAGAAAGACTTCAAGCCTGAATTTATAATTACGTTTGTCCTGATGAGTAAGGAGTTCAAGGAAACATATGTCACAGAGTTTGTAGAGCACTGGAAGGAAGGCATAGACCTTTCCTCCCCAGTTACTAGTTTGATGAAGTATGTTGCTTTGCTCAATTCCTATGTACATGGTTCATACATTTCATTATCACACTGTGAAGCTTTCCTAGGGCTGGGGGCATATGCAGAAAAGAGAGAGTATGATTTCAAAAACAACTTAAGTGAACAGGCAAAACTTATTTTCATTGAATTAAGAGCAAATACCACCTATATTTCATGTGTTCAAATAATACATCATCTGGTTGCTAAGGAAATTCTGCACCAACTCTCAGGAAGTCAGCCTCAAAGTCAAATTGCAATGAATCTTCTCCAGGAAAAAATGCTTTTTCAGCACAGATTTGGACGGGAAGAGTTCATAAAATTCATCAGAGATCTGTTCATACGACGTGACAAGAAGAGCAGGGGAGACAATACTGACAGCCTCTTCTCTCCATTCATTGAGCATGTCTGTAAGGTTGAAAACTGTGAAAAAGCTATAGAGGTTTTAAAAACTGCATATGAATGCCTGGGAAAAGATGCCTACTTTGCCCAGCAGCTTGCTCGATTGCATTACAATCATGAAAAATTTGAGGATGCAGAATATTGGGCAGGGGTAGCCAAATCTCATTTGCCATATGATTCTTTTATTTTGGATACAGAAGGTCAAGTGTACAGGAAATGGTTTAGTTTTACTGTGGACAAAGAGACAGATGAAGCCACTCCTAGTGAAGTCATTGAGATGATAGAAATTGCCCTTAAAGCTATGAAATGCTTCAGGGCTGCACAACAGGCTGCAAAGTCAGAGATCGACAGCATGAACAATGCTGGTTATTTTGGAGAGGTTGAAGTGGGATGTCGTCTACTAAAATTTCTGTCTACACTTCAGGTATTTCCCAGAAACACACAAGGGGAACATCCTGAGCTTGTGCGTTATTTGCTAACGGACTACATTCCTGAGGAAATTAAAAAACCCTGGGGAAAGCTTCACAGTCGTTTAAAAGGCTTACGCCAGAACATTTATAATGCTCTGGAGTGGATTTCAGAAGATCTAAGTTACTTCCAAACAGATAAAAACCAGAACAAAGAAAATGAAGCAGAGGAGAAGGAAGAACAAGTTCACAATCCCAGAAAGTGGTTGAAAAGACAGTCTGAGGTGTATGCCAAATTCTTTACCTCAGATTCCCTTACTGTGGTAATAAAAGGAGGACCTGAAACCCAGCTAGTCAAAAGCATGAACATTTATAAGTATGGTGGTGGCAGTGTCACTACCATTCTTTCATTGTTGTCAGATTCGAAGGATGAGAGGTCAGTTAATAAACTAGAAAAAATAATTAGCTTATACCCTGAAGACCCACAGAAAGGAAGCTTGGAGGACATTGATCTCATCAATTACATTTTGTGTCACATCGCACTAGCATGTTTATCTCCTGGATCTTCCAAACTTCTTCCTTTTCAAACACTTAGAGAACTCAGCAATAGATTCTTCAAACAGAGAAGAACAGCATTTCCAGCAAGTGCCCATTTTTTGCTCACCTTACTGTACTGGCCAGATGATGCATTAGACAGAGAATCTAATCCAGATAAAAATGATATTCTCATAGCCGCTCTTCAGTCCATGAAGCGCTTGTATGACGTCAAGATGAAAAACATTGCTCCAAGAAAAAAGAGAATCTACACACATTTTTTCCTGGGAAAAGGCAACGGTCTAGGAAAGTTTGTGCACAAGACTAGGATTGATAAATTAATTGATGGCTCCCTAAATGAACGACGAATGAAGTGGCTACATGGAGATGTATGGAAAATAGGCAAAGTTCATAGTGTCTTAAAAAGAGTGAATGGCTGGACGGAAAAGGGAAAAGTATTTGCACGGGGTCATGTTGGGCAGATTCATATTTTGCCTTTACATTTTGATTCAGTGCCTCCAGGAAATGAAAATGTTACATTTTATTTAGGATTTTCATTTAGTGGGGTTGTTGCCTATGACATTCAGGTAATAAAATAAATCAATCTCCTCCAGAAACTAAGGTACTTAGTGCATTAAGTTGAAATTCCCACTGGACTGAAAACATTGCAAGATATTAAAAAAAATTTTCCTGTTACATTCTGAAAAGAACATACAGCAAAAATAAGTCCACCTGTCCAAAATGAGTAATAAATCTTTTTCTAAGAGCAAGTACAACCAAAACTCTGACATAGTGTCATTAGTGTCAACTGCCATATGCAATTTTCAAGTCATTGTTTTGTATCTGAATACTTTGTTTCAATGTAGCTGTCATGATTCAATTCCCCCTTAGGAAATTTTTAAGTTATTGTCTCTTGGAAAGGACGAAGAAAACTGGATATTCAACATAGAGAGGCTTCATCCTTTATTTGTATAAAATTGAAATGATATGTAAGTTTTCATATCAATAACACAAACTTAGAAACAAAATATGACCCAGCACTTATAAGAAGAAGAGTAGTGATGGAGCTGCTCCAAGATCTTGAATGCTAGGAAATCCTTTTAAAATCTGTAATCATGGTGACTGAACTATTTTTGGTCATAGAATCATAGAAGATTAGGGTTGGAAGAGATTTCAGGATGACAGCTAGTCCAACCCCCTGCTCAAAGCAAGACCAACACCAACTAAATCATCCCAGCCAGGGCTTTGTCAAACCGGGCCTTAAAAACCTCTAAGGATGGCAATTCCACCACCTCCCTAGGTAACCTATTCCAGTGCTTCACCACCCTCCTAGTGAAATAGATTTTCCTAATATCTAACCTAAACCTACCCCACTGCAACTTGAGACCATTGCTCCTTTTTGTTATGTCATCTGCCATCACTGAGAACAGCCTAGCTCCATCTTCTTTGGAACCCTCCCTTCAGGTAGTTGAAGGCTGCTATCAAATCCCCCGTCACTCTTCTCTTCTGCAGACTAAATAAGCCCAGTTCCCTCAGCCTCTCCTCATAACTCATGGGCTCCAGTCCCCTTTGCTTTTAAAATTAGTTTGCTTCATCAGTTGAGAGAGAGCAGCAGATTAGTATTGCAGTTGCTTGCTTTCAAATATGTGCAGGCATCTGGCTGGAATAAATGGAACCTCTTAATATGCTTTTTAGATTGGCTTACATTTATATTAGTTCCTTTCACCCACTAGTAAAATAATATAGTTATATTTAAGAGTTTAACAGCAGCAATGTTCAACAATAGATAAAAGAGAAAATATCAGATATAGGATTCTTCTTCACTAACAACTAGTGGAATTTCAGGAGGCAGACTGAATGGAACTGGAATTTGGGTAGCTCTAACAACTCTGTTGTAAACCCCTCTCACTCCCATGCAGAATATCATGGGAACTGTAATGGTCATGTATAGTCAAGTTTTATTGTTGGGTTTTTTTGTGGGATGGGAAAGCCCAAAAGAAAGTAATTGTTTATCAATATGGAGCCAAATTCACCACTAGACTGAACATGTACCAACTTAAGTGACATCAATATTAGTCTTTACTGCAGTATGTGGACAGCAGATTCCACAGTAGTTAATACAGGTAATTTATCTTCGTTTTTGACTTAGTAAATAAATTATTGGATACAAATGTAGGTGTAATTAATTGCAACCTATAATTTGGTTTTGATCTTTTCAGGGAAAGTAAGAGGGAAGATTATATTTTAAGGTGACCCATATCAAATACTTATGTATATTACCATGTATAGATAGGTATATTATCATGCCATGTATAGTATAAGGAAAAAGCAAGTGGTATGGTGATCATATACAAATTAATGCTGTATGTCTTTTTTAATCTGTATTTATAAGTATTTTAACATTTTATAATTTTGGATTTAGTTTTAAGTTTTATTGTGATACTTATTGGTTTTTGCATATTGGCCCACAGCTAAGTCATGGAATCATAAAAATGTCGAGCTGGAAGGGACCTTGAGAGATCATCTAGTCCAGCCCCCCCATGCTGAGGCAGGACCAAGTAAACCTAGACCATCCCTGGCAGGTGTTTGTCCAACTTGTTCTTAAAAACCTCCAAGGATGGGGATTCCACAGCCTCCCTTGGAAGCCTATTCCAGAGCTTAACTACCCTTAGAGCTAGAAAGTTTTTCTTAATATCTAACCTACATCTCCATTGCTGCAGATTAAGCCCATTGCTTCTTGTTCTACCCCCAGTGGACATGGAGAACAATTGATAGCTATTAATAAACCTTCTCTGCCATACCAGTTATGTATATTACTACAGTACCATAACTATTCAGCACACTTCATCTGTTGTATAGTACCAGGCACACTAATGGTGAAAATTATCTGTATTAAATAACCAAATTCAATAAAGCAACAAAACATCTGTTGATTTTGGAGAAGGGAAATATAGTAGTTTGAGGATTTTTTTTTAAAAGAGAAGCATCATTACAATTTTACAAAGTTTTTCTATGGTAAGAAACAAAACTCAAGAAGTTCTAACACTGTGGAAGGCTAAATTATTTAAGAAACTGTACTGCTTATTGTTACATCCTCCTGTTACTTAGTTTTAGGATTTACATGTATACTGATTTCCTAATGTCATTTGTTTGAACATATAGTTTTTATATTTTAACTTACTAATTTTGAAAAGACAAACACTCAGCACAAATATCTTAATTGTACTGATTCATTGTCTGTTTTTATTGCACTTACTACAATACAGTGACTTCTATAAAGAATTCTTGAAGTTTGCATTTTGCTTCTTTCACAATTATTGCATTGTTACTACCTCCCTGAAACATCCACAGGAGACTAAAGTATCACTTGCTGTTAGTTTGACAAAAGAACCCTTTAACAGAAACCTAATTGGAGCTCTCTCTTACAGATACAAGACAGAGGGTAGTTAGACGAAAGGTTTTCCTAAAAAGGATGTTAGAGGCAATTGTTGACTAGGTACAACTAGTTAATATAAAAGTAGCTGCAATCTAAGCTCCTATTTTCCTATAAGCACTGATGAAGCCCCTCTCCTCTGCTCAAAGTTTAGGAGACGAAAGCTACAAAATGGAGATTGTTACAAAGGGCTTTTTAAAACCCAGCTTATTTAATTTTACCTTACTATGAAAACCCATGCTGCATGCTCCTCTCTGCCTCCCACTGCAAAAGAGCCACAAAGTGTTCCATGTTATTTAAACTGTAGAAATTGATTTAAATTCTCTTGGCAGAGACGTTAAGCAGTTGGAGACTTGGAAGTTCTGGGGAATTTGTCCACATGTCTGGGAGAGCGGGGAGAGAGAGAGAGAAGTCGCTGTGCACAGATGCATTAAGTCTGCTAGTAAATATGCTCTGGACCATTAAGGGGGCTCTTTGTGTCACTGTAACCATATACTTCCTGCCTGATCTTCTTTATGACTTTGGATAGCAGGAGAAAGGCATCAAGTAAACCTTGAGACCATGGCAGGAGGTAAGCATTCTGGAGGGACCCTGGCTGACACCTGCTTTGGAGCAGAAGAGAGGGTATTTGTTGTTCTTGTTGGTGGTCAACGGATTTATCCTGGGGAAGGCCCATCCCTCAGAATGGAGTCCTTCAGCTACCAACCCTGACTGGCTGAGTAATGTCCATTGAGGTAATCTGTAGATCGCTGTTTGTTCTTCTTCAATTGATTGCACATGTCCATTCCACTATACATGTACACGCACCGTGTACAAAGATATTGGAGATTTTTCCCCCTCAGCGGTACCAGACCGGGTGGCTTGAGCACCCTTTTGCCACACACCACTGTGTGCTGGTATAAGAAAGTGGAGCTTCCCCCAACCTGCCTCAGTTCCTTCTTACTGCCAGTGACGGTTGTTGGAGGGATCCAGGCGTATTAATTCAATTGCTTCCCTCACTCCTTTCTGCATATAGATCCTGTTTGTTGTAAAATAGTAGTTTGTTAGTTTTAGACAGTTTTAGTGATAGTTTTCTGGGTTTGGTCTCTTTTTGACCACTTATTTTTCTCTCTTGGTACCAGAATGGTGCATCATTCATTGGGGTTTAAGTCCTGCTGAACCTGTGTAAAACCCATGCTGATCAGCAACCTGCACCCAGCCTATTTGAAAGGTTTGGGGGAATCCCACGTTAGTGACAAATGTCACATTTGAAAAGCATTCTAGCCCCACTCAAAAAAAAGATAGGGCAGTGAGGCTTAAGTGCTTCCTTATGGAGGCAGCATTTCGCTCCCCTCGGAGTCATGACATGGGGAGAGCGCCCCAAGTACATCAACTTCGGTACAGAGCCACCGGAGGTGTCTGTGGCTCCTTGGGACTGTTCCTTGGTACCAAAGAAAAAGCTTAGGCCTTCTGAAGGTTCAGTTGCTCTCTTGACTGCATTGGTACCAAAGGCAGAGACTTGACGAAGCATTTGGGCAAGGGACTCATCCTCCCAGAACACTCGTCACCTTCCAGGAGGGGATAACCGCCTCCAGAGCCGGTACCAGGTCTGACAAGGCCATCCCCTGAATGACACTTGGCCAGCAGACAGTGCTGATCCCAACCCCCCTGGAGGAGTATGCAGCTGCATGAGTCTTATTCAGCCTGTTGGTACTAATATGGCTGGCAGTGGAAGGTGTGCAACTGGTATCAATGTCTGTTGCTCATACCTCACTGTATCGAGGTCTTACAGTGCACTGTCCAAGCCTTTGCAAAAGCCCTTATTGACAAGAGGAAAGCCTCCCATGATTTCCCCGGTACTGCCATCTCCAGGCTCAGGTTACCTCTCCTCAGTCCCATCTGGATCTGCCCCTCCACTGGCAGAAGCATCTGACTCTTCTTCCTCAAACTCAGAGGTGTGGTGCTGTGTATCCCACTCAGGATGGGGAACATAAGTCATTGGGACCATGGGGCATACAGCATCCCCAGCATTGGGCCTCTTCTAAGGATCAATGGGCTGAGCAAGGATGGGTCCGGGCCCATATCAGTAGCCATTCTTGATGCCATGGGGCGTTCTCTTCCAGCTAGGACCTCCCCTCAACCATCTTGCTTGCTGAGAGTGCACCAGAGGCATTGGTACCAAAAAACATCAGTCCCTGGTACCCAGTACCAAGACTAGTACTGAGCAGCCAGAAGCCACTCAGGCACCTTCCCTGCCACAAGCCACAGACCAACCAGCACCTCAGATGCATGTTGCATCCTCATCACCCAGATGAGGCTGTTGAGCCGTCCAAGTGACATCACCGCCAGAGGACCACACTGCTCATCGAGATCTTTTTAAAAGAGTGGCCTCTGTACTTCACATTCAGGCAGAAGAGATGCGCGAAAGCTCTCACAAATTGGTGGACATCCTCATATCGGCAACCCCAGTCAGGGTAGCTCTACCAATTAATGAAGCCATCATGGAACCAGTCAAGGCTTTTTGGCAGACACCCTCCTCCCTGCCCCCCACAGCAAAATGAGCTGAAAGGATGTACTTCATCTTCTCTAAAGGGTAAGAACATTTTTACTCTTACTCCACCGCTCTGCCCCCTGGTTCTCTTGTGATGGCAGCTGCCAATGATCAGGAAAGACAGGGGCAATAAACTTCCATGCCGAAAAGCAAAGACTCAAAGAGGTTGGATCTGTTTGTTTGGTTGCAAGCTTTCTTCTTCAGGAAGCCTGCAACTCATGATTGCAACCAACACACTCTTGTG